TAAAAAATTGGTTGAAGCTAAGATCACTTACTACACCTATTATTTTTGACATGTCAACTAAATAGTATGTGTATAACAAAAAAAAATGTCTCTTTAATTATTTTGTTCCCTAATAAAAACTACATTTTCTAATTAAGTAAATGTATTACACATATTATTTCTAATACATCAACTAAACATTGCATTTATACCCAAAAAATTTTGTTTACCTAATTTGGTTTTTCCCAATTAAGGATTATGTTTTTATTTTAAAATATAACATTAACAATTTTCAGATTAACCATTGTGTTATCACTTTAAAAAATACGATATTTGCAAAATTTATCCTACCTAAATACTCCGTTTGTGCACATACAAACATAGTGTTTATAATTTTTTTATTTAATTAAAGATACGTATGAATTTTCATAAAAATAGTTTTTATAAATACGATTTTTTCAATCAATGAATCTTATGATTAAAAATATGAATTATAGATATTATTATATCAATTTTAACATTTCAATTAATATTTACAATTTGAACTATTTATACTTCATAATATATAATAAGGTAACGTCAAAATAAAAAATAATAAATATTTAAGTAAAATATGTTTATACTATAAAAACATAAAATTTGAAGGATTTTTTTTCAATTCTAAACTGTGTTTCTGCTTAAAATTTGTAATAGTTTAATTTTTTTTATTAAAAACTATAGTTTCTCTTCTAAAAAAGTGGTGATTATAATTTAAATTACATACTTTGATTATAGTATTCTAAACGTGGTTATTACTATTTTTTTTATTGATTTTTTCTCCACAAAAACAAAACCTATAAACTTATTATTTTCATTTATAAAATATAGCTTTTGCTTTCAAGTTTTTTATACTTGTTTCTAAAGTGGTTTACTGATTTCATATTCCCAAAAATAAATTTATAAATATCACTTAAATAGTCCGTTTCTAATATGAAAAATACAGTGCTTAAATACTCCATTTCTGATATGTAAAACATAGTGCTTAAATTTTTTTTATTTAAATCAAATATGTTTATACTTTAAAAATTGTCAAGTTTGGAAAATTATTTTCCTTATTGAAAACTACATTGCAGCTTAGAAATTGTATTATTTGCATTTCTAGTTAAACATAATGGTTGACTTTTTTCCTTTCTTTAAAGCTATCAACTTCAACTTTTTAACTGATTAGAATTCCAAAACTTATACAAGTTTAGTTAAACTGCTTCTCTCAAACTATATAAACCTTAACAACAAATCTTTGAACTTTTGAAAGAAACCACAAATTCTAAGGAAAATGATAAACCCAAAAGATGACCACTTGGAATTCATTGCAAATTTGGACCATGTTCCACAAATTTTCAAGATTTTACATAAAGAAAACATCTTTGAAGATTTAACAGTAACCAAATTGTTTTATAACAATTTTCTTCTTTTTTTATTTTTGTTACCATTTTAGATCACAGATACCAATGAAAAACACATATTTTATTAATCTTTTCAATTTTTACTTTCACTCAACATTTCAATTGAATGCTCTATTGTATACTTTTGTTATATTATTTATTATGATTTTCATTTACATATTTTTCTTTAGGTTGAAATATAGAAAACTATTTTAGGTTTTATGAACAGCATAATTTCTTTTTTTTTTTTGATTACCTTCATGAGATACATATTTTTTTAACTAATTCAAAATCTAATTAAAAATATAATCAAATCTTTTTTTTTCCTCATTTATCTAGAATCTCATCGAAAAAAATTAGTCAAATTCTTGCTTTTTTATGTTAGCATATATATATATATATAAATGCATATTCTTTCCTATCAATATAAATATTTAATATACTATTTATTAATTTCTATTCTCTGGTTTGTTATCTTAATGTTGTACAATTTAATTTTGTATGTTTTAAGTTTGTCAATACTTATTAAATAAAATAACGAACTTCTTTGGATGTTTTATATGTATGGTTTATATTACTGATTTGTTTTTTTGTGATGATCATTGTAAAAAAAATAAGTTGATTCTAATTAACAATGCATACATATCTACCTTTAAATTTATATTGACAATTTTTTTGTAATAAATACTAATACTATGGTTGCAGAGACTTCTGATGGATTCTATAAATATGTAACTTCAATTTGTTAAAACTCCATTAACTATATCTCTTAAAAGTTTATTCTTTACTCAATTCAAAATGTCTTTGGTTATGATCAACAGTCAACTATGCTTTCAAAATGGTTGGAAAGCTTTTGTTGATACATACTTTTTGCAATTTGGTGATGCACTCGCCTTGAAATATAGCAATTGTCTGTTTTTTCATGCCTTTCTATATTATGGAAGTGGTATTGCTATCACAATGGACGTTCTTCAAGTAAGAATAGGTAATACCTTAATTTCAAATATTTTTCATTTATAAACAATGTAATTATCTTATAATGTTTTCTTAAGATTCTATTTTTTTTATCTTCATAATTGAGAAAAAATAAGCAATACAAGCATCTTTTTCAAAAATAAAAAAAGAAAAGCATAATGGGTCAATTGTTGCAAAAAATAAAATAAAATTGGCAAGCAAAGTTATTTATCTTCATGATACAACTTTTGAGTTAGAGAAACATGGAAAAATTGAGGTTGATGAAGATGGTGAAACTGAATCTGACAACAATGGTTTGTAACAAACCATGACAAAAACAAATGTTCAATCATCTTGTATCTTGGTAATACAACATATATAAACTGCTTTTATATAAGTTCTATTACATTTAAATTAGAGGTGGCAAAATGGGCAAGTGGACAACCAATTTTGCTACAATATTCGTGCCGAGCTAGGCATCATGTCATGCACAACTCTCTTAGTTGTGCTGTGCTAAACATGTCAAGGCTCATAGGTTGGCATTGCATAAGCACATGATTAGCCCATGCCCAAGCCCGACACAGCACGATCCATATTTTGTTGATAAAAATATAAGATCAATTAATTCTTTATGCATTTTTTATATGATTCTAAAATTTTAAATGAATCTCAAAAAGAATAAGAAGATAACCTTAGTGAAGATATAGTATGGTCTTTAGTAAGTCAAAAAAAATTCTAATGTATCTTTTAATTGTGAAATTAATTTTTATTTACAACAAGATGTTAAGCTTTCAAAAGAAGAATTAGATAAGTTTGACATTTTTGAATGGTGGAAAAAAATGAAAAAGTTTTTCCCATGCTTTCTCTTATAGCTCGTGATCTACTAACATCTCATGCGCCCATAGTTCCATTGGAGTCTTGTTTAGTGCAAGTGAAAGAGTTCTTAATAAAAAAAAAATTAATGTGAAAAAAATTATAAAAACTCTTTTATGGGCCTTGGGCTAACACAGCACGATCCATATCATTGTTGGATCATGGACCATGCTAGGCCGAGAAATTTTTAATAAAAACTGTGCCTAGGAGAACCAATATTTTTTTTGTGTTGGGCTAGCCTGACCTATAATAGTGTCATGCCAAACACTGAGCTGTGCTATGCCAACCCATTTGACTCATTTTGTCACATCTAATTTAAAATTTTTAAATAGCACATATATTAATAATTTTTAACCATTGTTTGTTAAACTCTTTTTAAAATTTAGCATGTCCTTGTTGCATTTTACAAACAATTCTTTTCAGCACATAACGTTGATATTATATTAATGATTTCAGAGAAATGCATAAGTTAATCTGTTTAATTCAAGTATTCATTTAAAAATAAAATTTCTTTAAGTGATTAAAGAAAATTTATTATAAACTTTCATTTAAACCCCGATGATTCTTATTTTTTTCAAATAGTTAAAGAAGGCTTGTTCTATGTTTTCATTAACTAAAATTAAATATGTAAAACTTAACAAATATTGCTTGACTTTTTATCTAAACTTTGATGTTAGATTTTAGCTATCGTGTTTTTGTTCTTCTACAATGGCTTACACTTACTGTTTTAATTGCATGGTAATCTATTTATAATAGCATCTTTAAGCAGCTATGATTTTATATCAAAACTTATTCACTATTTTATATCCTACATATTTAGCATGCTATCATTCTATTCAATTTATTTTCTTTAGTAAATATCAATTCCTGCAACAAAACTTTGTTTCAAAAAAGTTTTACAATAACTATATTTAAGAAATTTTATACATAATTTTTCATTAAAAAAAAAACTAAAACTATGTTTGCCTATGTAAAATTGGAGTTTTTGTTAAAAATTTTCAAACAATATATTTTTAACAATTGAAACATATCAAATAATAATATCTAAAAAAAATGCAAACATCATGTTTTTAGTATGAGAAATGAAGTTTTTAATCAAAACGTTACATTAATGTCTTATATAAATTTTATATACTACGTTTTAATATGGAAAACGTAGTTATTTTTTAGAAAAACCTATATTTTTTATTGTATATCTTCCACCCATCCATTTAACCAAAAAAAAAAAACAAGTCGTTGGCTAGAAGCCCAAATGAATATCTCCATTATGATTCATGAGCCACAACAAAAAGTATGATTGATTACAATTCTTTACACAGCGAAAGTATCAGCAATTTAAAGAAACAACCTTCACTTATCATGTTTTTTCCTTATTGTTATACTCCTAAAGCTTAAATGGATTGACAATTTGTTTATCTTCTCTTTTCCGCTCTTAAATTTAATTTTACGTTTAAAATTGTATTTCTTTACATTCGTCTTGTTATCCACATGAATTTGACTTTTTTTCCTTTTCATTTTTTTCAACCTTTTTTCTTAAGAACATTCATGATCACTCTTTTTTTTCTCAAAACAATTATCAAAATTTATCTTCAACTGTTTTACATTTTATATCAGTAATTATATATTTAATCTTTTTGAATGTTATGTTATATCTGCTTTGACTGCTTAAAAAAAATGTACCCGCAGCGCAGGCACAACGCCAGTTATAGGATTAATCTATAATCGACAAAGTTGAATACGTACTCATAAAAGCCTAGTGTGTATTTATGTATTTATAAAATTGGCATCAAAGAGTACCAGGCTCCGGGGGCCAGGATATGAGGCTAGGAAAATCATATTAGCATAAAAACAAACAAACAATGAAAATATGGAACTTGGACATCCAGAGCTAATAAGTGCAATACATGTCAACATTTTTAAGAGTCGAAAAGTCTCCAACAGCTCAAACTAAAAACAAAAACCTCAGCAAATATGTAAAACTAGCACTGACGAAGTCATACTCGTTGTCAGCTACCTGCCTCCCTAAATTACCTGCAAAACAAAGATTTAAGCAGAACACATTGCTATGGGTGATGGATGACCTCAACCCAGTCTTGAACAAGAGAAGGATAATAAAAAGCTATGCACCAAAATAATATATAATACTATTTTACACCAACATTATGGAGCTCAAATTTAATTAAATGATGTTTAGATATAGTATATACATCTAACAGGGCAGAACTATGCTAATAGTAAAAGACCATAATAGATCACCATTAAGCAGTCTCTTAAATAATCTCCAAGTTCGCTCCTTCATGGCAGTTAATGGAACTATTTTCCCTCCCCATAAAACAAACTCGTTTTCTCAACTCCTGAGCATGAGGCTCTTGGGAACAGAGCCTTTCACTCCAAGGCTTTTGGCCGACCACAAATCATGAGCATTTGGGGTGATTTTTGGAGAACTCTGTTTTTATGACTCTAAGCAAAGCCACTTCAAGTCTTCAACCATTTCTCGGTTCAATTTTTCAGTCTGGTTTTGATAATTTTGCTAGAAGGTGATTAATGGCAGACACATCCTATGGAAATAGGGGAATTATTTGTTTTGATGCTCATTCTTGACAGGCAGTAAGCGGAGGCCGGCAAAAACTAAAAACACTTATTTATCCCACAGGTATGAGCCTATCGTAAAACTGGTTACAGTTTTTTTTCCCAACCTTTATAATCCTAAATATCAACGTACAAGTTTAAAGCATGGTCAAGCGTATCAAATACATGGCAAAAACTTAAGAGAATGATCTATGAAACAGTAACATAATAACAGAAAATAGAGTATTTCTAGAGGAACAGCATGCCCAATAGATAAAGGTTTATAACATCAGCGGCATTATAAACTTGTGATCAGAGAAACCATACCTAAACAGCTGCTCATCTGCATAATGCAGTCATGGATTCATTCACAAGGAAAAGCCTTCAAAAGCTGAGGCTCTTTGGCATTGGACATCTAGCCTTTCAAGCAGCTTTGAACAGCCATAAGTCAATGAAACGTCTAATGACTTCTTCTCACTTGCAGCTTCATCATATCTTTTACCACCATCATCTTCCATGAAACCTACATCATCAAATCTGCTTCCAACAGGCTCTTTCATATGAATCATCTTGCCAAACAATTGAAACGAACTAACACCTACTTTGCTCGAGTTGCACCCCCCATTTTCAGTAAGTTCTGTGCCAAAGGAAACCACACTGCTCTGGCTATCTGGAGACAAGTTGTCAGACTGTGAACTGCCAATGTTGAGCTCAGTGGATATCCTATTCAACTTAGGCACCATATAGTTGCCAGAGAAATTATCAGTGGGCATCATTGGGATATTCTCACTCACATAGTTGGTAAAACTTTGCAAATGATTTTGCCTGGCTCCCTGCATGCCAGCAGGAAAAGAATTGTAATTCAACAGTGATGGATTCAAGTACCCCATTTTTGGATTAGTTAACCCAGTCATAGGGAAGAACATTTCTCCCCCTGCATCAGACAGCCCAGAATCCTGAGAAAACTTGAACCTCTTTGCTGAGGGGAATGAGGAATGAAGCGGTGAGGAGGAAACAATTTCAACTTGCCATGGGCTCACCCTCCTTGCATTCTGTAGAACATCAGGTTCATCCCATGCAACCTAAAGAATTAAAGAAAATGAAATCGTTAGTCAGCAAAGGTAAAAGGGAAGAAATTCTATAAGTAGCAAAATGGATGAAAACTTTATTAATTCCTCTCAAGAACTTAAATTGAGATTAAACAAACCACATCCTACCACAAACCCACCCCCAAAATGCTGCCTCTGAAATAAGAAAAAACATAAAACAAAGAACAAACTTTTCTCCCATTATTACAAGTCATAGACACATTGGTAAAAGAGCAGTTTAAACACTTCATTCTTTTAACAACTACATAGAATTTTAGATTTACCCACAATCGATATCAAGTCAAATATAAGAAGTTTGATGATTTTACAAATGCCTCCCCAAAATGCAACAAACAGAAGAAAATAAGCACACCCATCTTACTTTGAATGAGAAACCACTATCTAACAAGCCACTCGAAATCCAAACACAACATAAGAGAAAAAGAATGACAAATGTTGCAAAATCATTTCTAATCTAAATCCAATTCTAAAGAAAATAGAAATCCTACAAATCTATAATCTGAATTGTACCACCCCAACCATGGCCAACTTCTTAGGGAGAATAACTGATTTGTTTGACATTTTTCCAGTTTCTGTTTCGCAAATATCGTTAAAATGTTAAATAACAACTTGAAGCCTAATACAGGGAACTGATTTTAGGGGAAAACATTCAAAAGTAGATACGCAAGAAAATAAAATGCAGCCTACAGCTACAACTGTATAAACTCATTTCAACCTCAATTCCTCCAATCTATCAGTCTATCATAAGAGCTTATTCTATATAAGCATTTCGCACTCATCCATTTTTAAGTGCACCTGATTTAGTAATTCTGAAAACTGAGAACAAACTTCACTTCATCTGGATTAATACGGATTAAATTGTTAACACTGAAGTCAACAGTAAACCACATTCAATGTAATCATAATAAATAAATATAATTTAAACAATTGAACCCGAAGCATTTTTACCTGAAGCATTCGCCAAGGGGAGCCAATCCAGGGGCCAGAATCGGGTACAGCAGCAGACATGACTGTCCCTTGAAACCACGTCATTCGCGACGAATCCTCCGTCTCAACTGCCATCTTCACTCTCGTCCCTCCAGCCCAGAATATATTGAGTCCAGCCTCAACCAACTCCGCCCTCACCACGAAATCAGCCCAACCGGCCCGAGGATAGTACACAACCTCGAATGGCAACCCCTTTGCAGCTCTCTCCGCCGCTTCCGCCACCACCTCCGCCATCATCCTCCCCCTTCCTTCCCCTTTCATTGTTCCTCCATCACTTAGCTCTCTCCACCTCCCAGAATCCCCGCCACTTTCTCCTGTCTTCATCGCTCGCCGGACTCCAATAAACATTTTCCCATTATAGTCCCTCATGAAGACAACAGAATCGCCAGCGATGAGCTTCTTTTGATTAACGAACTTGCTCCATCCTGTAGTGAGGAGATGACGACGAGGCGTTCCTCGGTATATGTGGCGAAACTCCCACACGCAGCCGCGAACGTCGGTGACGGAAAGAGTCTGAACCGGCGGCTCAGCATTGTAGTCAAGCGGCGGGAAAATAGAATCAGCGCAAAACCGCGGGACGGAGAAACCACCGCCATTGTTGGCATCGGATGGCGTTAAAATCTTCGCAAACGACACAATCTTATCAGAATCTCCAACTTCACCGTTAATGTTTAGAAATTGATTGGTAAGTCTAGAAGGTTCAACAGGGATGAGAAGGAGTTTAGCGAAGGCTTCGTCGGTTTTCGGATCGGTTAGGCAATGAACATCGGAGATAACGCAAGGGATGAGAGGTCTGGAGAGTACGAGAGAAGATAGTGTTGGAATGGAACCGCAAACTTGTTCCGCGTGGCCTTGAGGGAAGTAGTAAACCCTAGAATTAACGGTAGGGATTTGAACAGAAGAGCCAGCGCAAGCTCGCCAGATTCTGGGATCAACGCGGCGGACCTCCGTAGGAGAAGGCTGTAGAGGCGGCATGGGGCCGATTAGGGTTTAGAAAAAGAGGAAGGAATTCAAAAGGGATAAGAGAAAAAAATATGGAGAGTACGGAAGGTTGAAAAAGGGTGCACAGAGTCTGAGTCTTTCTAACTTGGTGTTTCTGCTTTTATGGTGTTTTTTGGTGTGTCTGAGGTGAGGTAGGAAAGAGAGAGTTCCGTCTAAGGGTCGGAGAAGCGGCAACGAAAGCTAAATTTTGTTGGTATTTGGAGAAAAGGAGAGAAAAAGCGCAAATTTGATTGGTTAAAATTTACAGTTTTAGCCCACGACCAACATAACCGTCTCCACCTCACTGTTGTCACGCTCTATAACCCAGAGCGTGGAGTGCAACTGCTTTGTGTAGTAATTTTTATTCTTTAATTTAAGTAGCAGTACTAACTAGTAACTAGAGTTCTAACTCCAAATAAACATAAACTATGTTTGGGCTAAAGTACGAAAATATCCTTGATGAGTGAGGAAATCAACCAATCACATGGTTGGGAATTCATCTAGGAAAGTCAACATGAAAGACTGATTTGTTTTGTGAGTGAGGGAGGGAGAGTGAGTTTGGTTGGAGGTTGGGTTTGGCAGAGAAAAAAGCGGAAATGCCGTTAAGAGGGAATTTCGGAACAAAGTGCAGGGAAGAATAAATCGGGCAGGCGATTTCTTGTTTTATTTGACGGTTAGAAAAATAGAAAGAGATTGGGCCCGGTTGCAACGACCGGATTTGGATGCTCTGCTGTCGCGATTGTCATTTATTACGCGCCGACATTCCATTATTTTTTTTAATCCTCTTTTTTTAAAAAAAAATAATTTATACACAGAAAATACTGGTAATAGCCACGACATGATCATAATCTGGACCGTCAAATTGTTACTGTAGTAGTAACTTTTTTTTGTCTGGTAATTAGTAAAACCATAGTAGGTAATAAACTAATTTTATCCTTTCATCTTACAATAGCCATTCATCTCATCTGACAATGAAAAAAAAATTTAAGAAAATGTTGAAGATAATTCCCACTTAATATGGTTTTATCCTACTTAAGATTAGATTAGGTTAGATTCGATGTATCAATTCTTCATTAAAAAGTAGCAGAAGAAAGAGAATGCTGTTATCCGATGGTAATAGTGTTGTGCGAAGAGTGTCGAATACTAGAAATTTATCTTGCCAATGGCAGCGAACAACTTTTTCTTTTTTCTTATTTTTCTGCTTAAAGATAAATTTCTCAAGTTACCTTTCTCACATGCTATCTACATTTTTACTTTTACCCCTTTTTTTATTTTTCTTTATCGTGAATTTCCATAAATCCCCAATTCTTACCACCTCACCTGTCTTACCTTTTTCATTTTTCTTTGGCTTATTTTAGATCTCGCAAATTGTTAATGATTTTTTCTTCATCAACTGATTAACAAAATTTTAAGAAATACTCTAATTTGCAAGATTGGGTCTAGTTTGGATTCTTCGCACCATAAGTTTAGTGAAATTTAGTATTTTATCTGTAATTTTTTATTATAATTTGAAAATTATTTAATTACAATTAAAAATTATGTAATAATCCATCACTCATAAACATAAATTTCACATAATATTTTAGTGACCTTATATAATTTTAAATTTTGATTGGTTAACCGTAATATAATTATTATAGATGATATATTCTCATGAAATTTATATTATATTTTGGGCATAAAACTTAAGTCTTTTTGACTCAACATATCATTAAGTACATTTAGATAACATTTCACATGTAGTTGATTTTCGTGTCATTTTAATATTTGAGTTAAAAAGTTTTCAATGGTATATCGAATTTTATGACACCATGTTAATGTAAAAATAAAAAATAAAGATATTTTTAGTTATAATAGTTGATAGCATTTTAGAACATTGTTTTAATGTAAAAATGATTGAATTAAAATAATTTATTAACTTTGATGAGAATATCGCCTATATGCAAAATCTCATCACTATTATTATATTTACATTTTAAAACATATTTTTATATTTAATTTTAATCTCATTATTATATCCAATTTTATTTTTATCAGTACATTTACATTTAAACATCGTATTCTTATCATTAATTTTAATTTTACGATTATAATATCCAATAAAATATCAAAATTTATGTGAATGAACTCTAATATTATTATATGGTATGATGAATTCCACACCAAAAACTGTTTTATCTCAATATCTTACCTAATAGGTGTCATGTTATAAAAATCTTCCCCTATCATTTACGTGTCATCTTATAGGCATCATGCAAGTGCCTATACAGGATGTCATGGTACACCTTGGTGCTGCCATGACTGTTCCGATATGGAGCAGCCTACGAAACCTAATCCATGAGATGATGATTCTGTGTAAGTGTGCGGGCAAGCACGGGCTAAGAGCAGGCAAACTTGTGATGAACCTAATGCCTCACAGCCTGGTGGGCACTCTCGGTTAAGTCTTGTTAGGAGCACTTTCGAATGAGTTGGTGGAACAACGCGGATAATCTAGCATCATTGGGATCTAGGATGTGGTATCCTAATAAAAAACATAACGATATGCCCCGTACAAGTCTTTAAAGGTTGATGCTTGAGACTTAAGTGCTTGTTGACATTAGATAGGTGCTCGAGGCCATTCAACGATACATAAGCTGGTTATGTGACGGACATTGGATAGGTGATCGAGGCCACTCAAAGATACGTGTGAGCTGGTTATGTTATGAGACTCTTTGATGGGATTCAGTAACTTGCGGATGACGCTAACAAGCCGATACAAGTAGGGTTACCATTCGTGATGCTATAGAGTCACTGTGAGTCGTCCATGCAAAATCGGACTTGCCAAAGTTGACTTAGACTATGAGTTATCTTGATGCCACTCAACATCTGATTTAAGTTAAAAAAAGGCAAGGACCATGATAAGATTGAACCAACCTATTGGCTTTCATGTCTTCCTCGTTCGGGTTGGGAGTGGGGACAAAAAACCGCCAAAAAAAAACAAACTAGCAAACTCATTTCAACTAAATGGCCAAAATAACTCAACTGAAACTCGTTCATTTAAAAACATGGAAATAAATTATGTTGAAACAACTCCGAAAACCAGACTTAAACAGACGTAATAATCACAACACAACAGAGAGCATGTAGGAGCTATCTCACTGTAATTTATTTAAAGAACAAGACCAAGTGCCAACCAATGAAACCTAAAGCCACGATAGATAAACTTATTGTACTAAAAGCAGCCATAAAGCATAATAAATGCAACTAAACCAAAAGCTTCATAATCACTCCTCTTCTGACTCGGACTCAGCATTCTGGAGCCACTCAATGAAGGGCTTGACATTCTTCCAAAAATGAGAACTCTTATTACTACCGGCTATACCCTTCTGGTACCACTCCATGATGAACTCTTCTTCCAAGATGTCATTGTCATACAGCACTTTAAGAACTAAAGCCACCTCCTTAGCTGCCTCAGGGCTAGCCTTGCCACAAAAAGACTCGATAGAATGGAGGAGCAGCATCGTCCATCCCTCTTCTATGGCTGCTGCTGCAAGGTAGTTCTTCTTTTTAGTTACTTCCCTTGCAAACCCCTTTCCAACATCATGAAAGAGCGCTGTAAAAAGGGCATCCATGACTTCTTCTTGGGAGGTTCCAGAGAGTGAACCTAGGAAGGATTTAAGCTGTGTTGCAGACGACCCCTTATTGAGATATTCCTTTATCTCATCAACAAGTTTCTCATGGGCACTGATGCCATTCTCGGGTACCATAATGTCAGGCTCTGGAGACTTCTTCACTGACTTTTTCTTCTCTTCATTAGTAGAAAGCATCACCATATCTGCAGTAACAGTATTCAACTGCTCTTGGATACGTTGTTGAGCAGCCTCCAGAGAAGTATCTGTTTGCCACTGGACATCATCATCGTAATCACTGGCCACCTGCTCATTCTCATCAGCTTGGCTGTGTGCAGGGGAGTGATCCTCATCAGAATGTTTGCTTTTCTTCTTGGTTACCGCACCTTTGGAAGCAGCAACCTTTGTAGTAGAGGAACCTTTCTTTTTTGCCTCTTTTTTAATCTTCTTCAGCTCCTCATCGGCAGCCTCACCCTCCTTGAGTCTTTCCTTTTCAGCCCTCCTCATTGCCTTCTTGTCTTTAGACGACTTCTTTGCCTCAGGTGGGTTTTTAAGAATGAAAGTTGTAAGCTTATCTCGCATGTCAACATCAGAAACAAACCCACATGCAGCACATTTCAAGGTAATCATCTGTGTCTTCGTTATAACTATCTCAGTTTCAGGGTTCCCACAACCATAGCATTGAACATATTTCTTAATAAAGCTCTCAAGAAGCCCTGCAAGCTTGGCAGTGTCATGGGCGCCATTTACAAGTGAAGTTCCAGCCTTCTCATCAAACTTGGATTGGGCTCCCAGTTCACAACCAAAATACTTTGTAGTGTAAGAAGCAGGTCTAGCCAAAGCCTTTGCAATCTCAACCATGTTAACCACATTAGTCTTGATGCCATTTCCTCTCCCTTCAATCTTAGTTATCATTTTGGGCATCTTATACCTATAAAAGGCATCATCACTGTTCGCAGCACCAATATTTTGCAAAGCCATCTTGATCAAACCGTGGGAGAGTGTTAATCAGAAAGGACAAATCAGATACTAGTGTTTTCAATTGTAGTGAGAAATTTTTTACCAGACAGCTTCCTTGCACTTGGAAGAGGTCGCATAAAACGACAACCTAGACAGTGAGTGTTATTTGCCTCAATATGCATGCAGATATCTTCGGAGGAGGAACTTCTATTCTTTTTTCTAGAAGTGGGACAGTACTCTCCAAGCAATCCAATTGATGACAAAAAGAGAGAGGCCCGTTCAGACATAAAAGAAGATTCAAAGGTAAAGGCCTCCACTTTAGCAAACTGCTGACGCAGCAGATTAAACTGTCAACTACCTGAAAGACAACAACAGAGTTAATCCAGGTAAAGGTTGAAGCATAGTTTATCAATAACTGGCAGAAAACTCATCATCAGGAAAAGAACATGTAGCATTAGCTCAGCAAGAAAAATGCTATATCAACAAAATAAAAAGTTACAGTAAAATAAAACACTGAAATATAACACAATACAATTTTCAATATTACATACATTCATACATAATCACATGCATACATAAAGAAATATACAAACTAAACATATGTCAAATTTAAAACGCCTATTAAGCATCAGAATTAACAAATATTAATTTCTTAAAAGCCTACCGATTCCAATATTAGATCATCCAAAATTAGGATATCTATTAATCTAGAATATAAAGATACTATCAAACACGAGATTAAATTCTTTATTATTAAGTTTCTACGTAGCAACCAAATAGTTGAAATGTGAAAAAAAATATCTGTTACATTAATGGTGAATAAAAGAAACAAAGTTTGACAAATCAAATTGAAAAAGTAAAATCCCAATTCTAAAACATCCAAATCATACAGCAAACAATTATTTAATGTTAAAAATTAGGTAAATTAAAAGAAAAATAACAAATAATTATCAACTACTCCAAAATACAGAAAATATTCAAAAATAAATAAATAAGTCCAAACTCGAAACAAATTCAAAACAGATAATCTCTTGAAACAGAAAAATATAAACAGATCTACAACGAATCAACAAAAGAAAACATAAGTCTAGCTATCGGGCAACGACATAAATATTAAAATAAACTATAGAAAATATAAAATTAAATCGAACGGATTCATAGGAAAATTAATCATAAAATTGGAATTTGAAGAACCAAACCTTTTATAGGGAAAAAAGGATGATTAAAAAGATTAGGAAATTGGGAAAAGAATCAAACGCAGGAACTCTTAGAAGGTAGGGATTTTGTTGTGGAGAAAAGAGAGAGAGGGACGCTGCTTTATATACGGCAAACGTAGGGAAATGTGAAACGCTAGGGCAAGCTCAGCTTCTTGAATTTTCTAATATTAATTATTCTCGAACCGACTTTATTACATTATTGCCCTTAATTCTATTTTATATTTACAACTTTTATTTTTTCCTTTTTTTTTTTCAAGATATAGGTAAAATTATTTTTCTTTTTCAAAAATTGCATGCTATATATATATACATCACTCTATCATATCAACATACCAATTATCCAAGCATGAACATTTATATTTAAATGTTATTGTTGAGTTATAATTAAAAGTTATTGTAAAATATTAATGTGATTTAATTATAATTATAAATTTTAACATAAATCAAATTTATTGATAAAATCATATTTAAATATTTAAAACAAATTCATTTTTCATCATAAGTGATTTTGCGATTGTAATTAAGTTATGTCAAGATTCCATCGTAACTTTCATAAAATTGAGTCCACCGAAAAAAAAAATTTTCGCTACATTCTTGGCCCTACAAAATTATATATTATTCTCTTTGTCTTATAAGTTGTGTCTGATTTTTTTTTTTTTATAGTTAAATTTTATCAATTTTGACCATTGATCATATTTTAAATACTTTTATTAAACTTTTTTTTAATTCTCTAAACTACAATCGTTCCAATAAAAAAAATAACACTAATTCAAAAAGTTTTCCAATCTTTTTAAGAAAATAAACACTATCAACACAATCAAAACCATTGAAATTGTTTATGCTTTTCTTTTATGATTTATCAATCAAAATGCTCCTGACCGCTTTATTCTTAAATCATGGTGGAGATTTTTTTTTCCCTTTTTATGAGTTTTTTTTTAAATTACAAAAACAATTTCCAACAATAAAGGTCAAGGGGTGATATTGGAAATCAAAGAAGGAGAAAGGAAAGATTATCATCAAAACTCAAACAGAAAAATAGCTTACGTGGCACCCATACGATGCAAGTAAAGTCGGTTTCAAGCTTCCTAATTTGCGTGTTTAATTATACTTCCTACATTAAATATCCACCGTTGATTCCTCTTCTTGCTTTTCTTGATGGGATCTGTCTTTTCTTTTTTAACATTAAACAGCTTTTTTTGATGATCAAATTAAAAGATATATAAATATAAAAATAATATTTGTGCTCTAAACAATGTAAATTAGAGTTGTATATAAATAAAAAATAATATTTGGTAAGAAGATAAAAGCAAAAAAATTTAACAGTAAAAAAAAAATTACAAATATTTTTTGTGTTGATGTAACTTCTTATCTTATCATCAATAAAATTCTTTATTTAATATTGATAAGGGAGAGGAGTCAAATCTAAATTGGATGGTTGGTAAATTGTATAAATATTTTTGTTTTTGTGATCTAAATATGTTTTAGAATTTGCTTGATTTAGGAAAAAAATTTATTCACATTCTTCTTGCTTGATTGTAAATGTGTAACGTTTCTTGTGCCCTTCACCCATTATTATGAAATCATAAGAGAGAAATTTGATAATTTTTTGTATTAATCTTTCAACCATTATAATCAATTTAAAAATCATATAAAAATAATTTTTTATTTTATTTTTTATTCAAATAAATTAAATTTAATTTCGATACGTATATTCAATTAAAATTCAAATAGAGTATTTTTGAATATACATATTGAAGAATTCTTTAACAAAAAAGATATAATGATCAAATTCAACGATTTTCAATGGAAAAACTATTTTCGTGACAATATAAGCATTTTTCAAGTTTTCAACCAAACAATCAAAAGCCACCAAAACCATCATTCAAGTTATTGTCCCTACAAAGGATGAGGTGAGACGAAATTTTCCAAACTAAGCCAATTGAAACAGTCACTACCTAATCATGCCTTGAATAAAATTGCATTATCAATAGAGGGTTACATGCTTGAATAATTTCATTAATTGTATATGCCAACTGATAGAGAATATAGGTTCTTTAGTTTGAAATTGTGAAATTTTACACTGATTTAGTTTGTTTTTTAATTTGGAAAAAAAAATCGCACTTATTCTTTAAACACAAAATCATGAATTAATCATTTAATCAAATGATCGGATGTGTATTTATATAATATTTAAGATTTAAAGATGTAGTGAATATTAAGAGTTAATTTGGACGAGTGATAAGATTAAAAATAATAATGGATGTAAAATTAATTAATGTAATAATAAGATTAAAATTAATAATAAAATATATATTTAAATACAAAAATAACGGTGACTGTAAGATAAATTATTGTTAGAAGAAAAAATAATCATTAAAGATATTAATATAAAAATATAATAATAAAATTATTTTTATATACATTTTAATATATTTAACATTTAAATTTTAAAAAATTTTATTGAAATATATAAATGATTTATTATATAGTTATAATAACGTAATATGAAAAACTTTAAATAAAAAATGAAAAATATAAATAACAAAAAAAAGGGGGTAATCTCATCTATTAACCATACATTGGAGGGTAAAAAAAAAAAAAAAAAAGCATGACTCATTTCATTAACTAAAATGTTGGAATATAAACAACAATTAATGGAGAGTTATGCATCTTGATATTAAGCATAATATACTACGACGTGGGGATTGTACGAAAGGTAAATTTAAGTTGCATTATTATGCTTTAAAATCATAATAAAATCATAGGGTGCATTTCATCAATCAAATTGTTGTTATTAAATTTTTTTGAACATATTGTTTATATTATAGTATAGAACTCAAAATTAAAGATGAATTGTATATTTATATATGCATTTTCCTTGTTTAGTTCAAGTTGTATTACGGCATAACATAAAATTAATGAGATGTTATTATGTTATAAAGACAAAATGAAATCTCTCTCTATATTAATTATTAAAGATAATAAAAGTTTAGTATAATATTTAGTACATTATTAATTTACTTATAAAAGTTAAGATATGTTAATAGTCATAAATTTTGTTAATAAAATATTAAATTTTAATTTCAATGATAAAAATTTAATCTATGATAATTTAAAATATAAAAATAAAAAAATTAGCTTAATGCAGGCCATTATATATTTACCCTAATGGATTAATTATAATTTCATTACGCTTTTTCAAGTCTCAAGTCTCAACAAATGGAACTTGTCAACTACATATAAAATGCAGTCATTAACCTACTAATGAAAAAAATGGAATTTCACGCCACATGGCGGGTGTTAGACATCTCGATGAGTTGGGTCTGAGATATCCAAAGTCCCGTTTGAGTTTTGAATCCTTCATCCAAAATCCTCGCGATCCCTTTGCATGCAAGATGAAAAAAAGGATTTACACATACAAAAGCGCATAATATTCAACAAAAATTCATCCCTCCTTGTAAAAGGACTTCACATACAACATCCACAAAACTTTAAAGAAATTGACGTTCTTCGATATATTCTCATTTCCTTTTTTACATCTCCATCTCCGCCTCATTTCCCTATCTTCTCTCCGTCATGAAGCAACGTAGTCCCGGGAAAATCTCCCTTAAATGGATCCTATTTCTCTGCATTAACTCTCGGAATTCTCTTCAGTAACAGGTCTCTCTCTCTTTAAATCTTTTTTAGTATTTCTTAATTATTGCGGAATTGATTGATGAATTGGGGTCACTGCTTTTCTTTTTTTTTTGGTTTGGGTCTTTCATTGTTGGGGTGGGGTTTACTTTTGACATATATTGATGGCCATTTGGTTCTGGTAACAGGCTGTGGGTCCTTCTTGAAACCAACGGTCAGCTCGTCTCTAAACAACGACTTGAACAAGAGTTGTAGATTATCTCCGAGGATTGCGATACTAAGAAAGTATGTCTCTGTTATTTTCACTATCACAGTTTAACTTCAAGTTTTTATTTTCTTTTACTTTTTCTTCAAAACAATTTTTATGTTTACAGAAGCCTGCACAAGACGATGGTGTAATGGATGAAATGCTGAAAACCCACGAAGCAATTCAGTGAGTGCAAAATTGGGTTCTTATTGTTTAAGTTAAAGTTTATCTTTGTGTTTGAAAAATGTTGCCTAATAATTTCTTTGTAATTGTGATCTTTGATGAGGCCTAACAGATCTTTAGACAAGTCAGTTGCAGTGCTCTATATGCAGTTAGCTGCCTCACGTAGTTCCCAGGAAATGGAGGACTTGAATGCCTCCAGTGCTGTCTCAACCTTGGCTCTTGATGGCCAACCAAAGAAGAAAGTGTTCGTGGTCATTGGAATTAACACTGCTTTTAGTAGTAGGAGGCGGCCTGATTTTGTCAGAGAGACTTGGATGCCACAAGGTTTTGTAGTTTCCATGGTCTTTTGAGGTTTATATATTTGATTAGTTTGTTAGTATCTTATATCTGAAATGAATTCATATGTTTAGTTTGAACTGGGGAAAAACTTATTCAGTTGGAGCGCGAGAAGGGGATTATCATCCGTTTCATGATTGGCCATGGGTAAATTGTTTTTTTGTTCCTTGTTACATATGAAAACAAATCTTGAGTAAGAGACAACTTTGGTTTGAATTTCAAAATATTTTGATTAATATGCATATTTCTTGGCAGAAAACCTTGGGAGTTTGAAGAATTATGGAGTAATTAGTAATGTTATGTAGTGGCACTTGTTAAAGTATGATGAATATGGCAGAAATGTTCTTGCTGCAGTACATAATTTGAACTGACATAAGTTATATCTGCATTTTTTTTATCCAGTGCAACATCCAACAGCATTTTGGATATAGCCATTGATTCAGAGGATGCTCAGCATAAGGACTTCCTTAGACAGATTAGACAGCACTCCCGGAATAATTTTCGATATTCTTATAGATATTATAGCATTTCTTGCCGATAACTGGTTTCAATCTTCTAATACAGGAGCATGATGAAGGATATCAAGAATTATCAAGAATTATCTGCAAAAACAAAAATCTTTTCTACTGCAGTTGCAAATTGGAATGTTGAGTTCTATGTCAAGGAGGATGATGACGTCCATGTTAATCTTGGTAGGTTTGCTATCTCCTATT